AATATATTTTAAACCAGCCCAGGCCCCACTGTAATATCACCTGAGAGAGTCAGGGCAAAGTTTTTGTATTTATAAAGATGTGTTTGTGTAAAGGCAATTGTAATGGAATTCAGTGGCCATGACTACAGTCATCTAGTATTGAAAGGAAATTTTGGAGAGATTGCATTGTATTATTGCTTGTAGGAAAACATAAGGCTACAGATTGGATGCAACATTCTTGCTTTCTTGGAAGAACTCACATACACATAGCTGACCTGACTAGTACTTCAGATCCCAGAAAATGCTTCCACAGCCTCCTGTAAGGTTCTTTATTCTGCAAAGAAAACAAAAACAAAGCAAAACAAACAAACAAAAAAAAAGCAAAAACAAAAAACAAACAAAAAAAAAAAACACAAACAACAAAAGAGAATTCAGCCACAAAATAGTGACTATTACTTCTGTGTGTCCTTCATGTGAAAGCTATTAAGGACCAAGTATACTACTGTGTGTAAGAAGAAATTACTTCCTAAACAGTAACTGAAAATACTTAGAGTTAAACTTGCTGTGGATTTTGTCTTGGCAGTTGTCATCTTACATTATTTGTCAAAGGAAATGTGTTTGGCAGTTAAAAATCTTTCCTTAGATTTAGTGGTGGACTTTAACCTCTTAAATAAATGTTAGTATATCAGATTGTGTCCTTGAAAAATATTTTACTTGTATGAATCATGACAATGTCTAAATCTTTACTCTCCTTCTGGCAAAAGCATGAGAAAGAGAGAAGGCAAAAAAAAAAAAAAAAAAGAAAAAAAAAAAAAAGAGAGAAGTATAGCCTTTACGTCAGAAAAATATTCTTTTTAGCTGCTTACTTTCTCATGAAAAGTAAAGATGTTTACAGTGTATGCCAAGATTTTCACTTTCTATATAACAACAGTTAGAGGTTCTAATCATACTGAAAATTGTGTTATAATGGCCTGAGCCATGTTGCTAGGAAACAATAGGTTCCAATTTTGTATTCCTGCTCTCACTCCTGTGCTGAAAAGTGACTGGATACTGTACAGGTTCATGTTCTCTGGCTGCAGTTAAATGGTCTTTTGCATTTTGCTCTGGCTTTCAGGCCAGAAGCATGCATTTTTCTACAAGAGCATCACAACAACATGCTGTAAATATTTAAAGTTAAACATTATGTGTCGATATTTGAAAGAAAAGTACTTTGAATATTTCATTTTTAAAAAATAAAATTGCAAACGAATACTGTGTCCCATTTTATTCTCGCGCCAAAGTGCCTTTTCTAGTCAGTCTGGTCACCTGAGATAGGAACAGCGGTTCCCTAACAGAGAACAATAAAACCACATCATCTTACAAATGTAGGTTCAGAAATCCAAAAGGCACTAATCCTAGGCAGATGGCTCTTCATTTTTATTTTTCATACAAATTAAGATCTCTGACACAAAGGGCCATTTAGTAAACAGAGAGTACTTGCTGCAAATTTAAATGTCTTTATGCTGGGACTTCTTTTAAAAGGTTTCACTCTCCTTTTGGTGCCTTTCTCAGCAATGGAAAGAAAACTAAGGGTTGCAGAAATGGGGTAAGGGAGAGCTAGAAGAAAGAGGTGCCCAAATGCACTGTTAAAAAAAAATGGATGTTCGAGGTAAGGTGGTGGTGGGAGGGAAACAATCATGAAAGACTTAAAGAAAAAGCCAACAGCTTTCTTCCAAGGTCCTACGTCCTACACAATTACAGTCACCATTTGGCATCTAATTCTCACAAGAATACATTTACCAGTGACACTGGGAGAACTGGCCGACAGATCTTCAAAACTTCAACGTGTTGCTAGTAGGGCATGTAAAGTCCAAACAGACTGTTAGCAAACTTGCTTGGAATCCTAGAATTTACAGCACTTCAAAAAATGCCCTGCTTTTTTAGTCACTGAACACACACACACACACACACACACACAGAGAGAGAGAGAGAGAGACTTTAAAAAGTTCATGAGAAAATGGACTTAAAGTATAAATTTATTTTAGGGCAAAACCGTTTTATATCCATGCTTTTTTTTCATAATATGCTTTTTCCATGAAATCTCCGAAGCCCCCTTATGAATACCCAGGTGGAGCGAAAAGATTTGTGAAACAGAAGATAATCTTGTGTGTCTCAACACAACCCATTAGCAAAAAAAAAAAACATAATAAAGGAGGGCAGCATTAGTATCACTTGGAGATTTTTTTTTTCAAAATATGCATCCCATCCCACCCACTGAATATAAATAAAAGAGCTGAAGCACCTACATGGAGAGAATTACTCAAGGAATTAAGAGATTTCTCTTTATTTCTTCCTTTTTTTTACCATCACTTTTACAGACCTTTGAATAGCAATGCTATTTAAACATTTAATATTATTACTTTAAAGTTATAAATTTATCACAATAATCTTGTGAGGTTGGTACTACCCTAATTATTCCTACTTGGCAAATATAACAGACTTACACAAGGTCACATGGATAATCAGTGACAAAGGTGAAGAGAAAATTCAGGACTTGTGGAACCACAGCTCAATTTTTATTAGGGAGTGGGAGTGTGTGAATTATATGTATACATATATGTATTCCATATGTGTTATATTGATGGGATCTATCTAGACAGCTGGTCAGGTACGTGTGCGTATGTATCTTTCTACAAAAAAAAAAAAAAAAAACACCTTCATTTCAAAACCAAACCACCAAATGATAAGAATTCAGCCTTTTACTGCAAGTTCAGCCAATGACCCCCAAATTATGAAAGTGTCCAAACTACATAGTTTAACTTCAGCCCTAGCTGCAAACTGCAAAATAATGGTATCTCATTTACTCCAAGGGCAAACATAGGTGACAAAGTTGAATTTATAGCACCCTAACAGGAAGACTAGGCATCCTGTAACCTTGAAATACTCAAGGGCATACCTGAGTTTTATTATTAATAGACTGAATTCTGAGCTCAATAAAGTGAATCAAATAGAACATAAGCTGATGCTGACACATTCTTAACAGATTTTAAAGCTGTTTCTCACATTTTTAATTTTCTAGCCATTCTGTCCCAAAGACTATCTTAAATCCAGCCTTTTATTTGCACCAAAAGACTTAATCAGAGGCATTCTCTGTAGACTTAATTCTACCTCTGCACTACCACAAACGTTCTTTGCCTGTAACCGCCACACAATTACCCAAGCTGGTCTCCCTACTGACCTTATCTCTTAAGAACAAATTTCAAAGGAAATGAGCAAGTATTTGATAAGCTGTCATGTTCCTTGTTGCTTTGCTGACACACTTTTTTTTTCCAAAGAGAGATGTGCACGCAGAAATATATGTGCATTTTTCTACCTTGACTCAGCATCTTACAGGTATATGTTAGCATGGCAATATTTTATATGTGACAAGGATATGACCTTTCTGTGAAGGTGCAAGCTATTATGTCCCAGGAAATAGCAAAGATGCTCATGTTGAGAAAGAAAAAGTGAAAAAAATGTGATGAATAAAATGCCGGCCAAAGAAGACAGATGTAGGTTTCTCAAAAATCAAAGAAGATTTAGCTTTTCCAGGGAATCAGTCCATCAAGATAAGTAAAGTGACTCCATCAATGTGTATGTCATTTTTTAATAGCATCTGTCCCTGAACATGGTATTTTATTTTATTGTATTTTATGACAAGTATTTTGCATTTATCTATTGTTATCTATTGTATCTCTTATACAAAATACAAATTATACATAAAATACAAGTTATCTATTGTATTTTATAACAAGTTAGATAAAGTTTTCAAATACTTTATTAAAATGGGAAAGACCATTCATTAAAAAGCTTTTTCCAAAAATGGCTCTTGCAAAGGAACATGCAAACATAATATACGTAGAATTGTCCCAGAGTAACCACATTAAGAAAGAGGAAAATTTAGTTATATCTGATTATCCCAGAGTAAAAACATTAAGAAAGAGGAAAATTTAGTTATATCTCGTAAACTTTAAGCAACACATCATTTAAAATTATTTTGAAAAAAGGTTTTCTAAATTTTTCGCCAAGCTAAAGAGGTGTATCTACTTAAGTTAATGGCAAACCCCTCACAAAACTACTGTGGCCAAACTCCACCTTTGCACTCTCATAGCATCCCTGTTAATAAATGCTCAGAAATCAGATCTCATCAGCAGAGTAGCTCTGTCTCTGTGCAATTCACTAATTAATAACCAAGCTCATCAACACTCATGCACAACCTAAAATTTCAGTTTACTAATTTAGAATGAAGCTTAGCTTTTGCTATGAATCATGAACCACAGTGTTGGTGTTGATTCATCCATCCTCTAAAGAGAAATCTACCTACACATTGGGAACCCTATTTATCATGTATTGTCAGCTTTGATTGCTATTGTTTTCTGTCTTTTATCGTTATTGTTTTTTTTGTCCAACCACAGAGTGAGATAGCTAAAGGCAGTGGTCAGGTTTTTATGCTTCTCTAACCCCAGTGCCCTAAAATGTTCATTGAGTGAATGAATTCCATGAGCCCTGAAACAACTTGACATGTAATCAATCACAAAAGTCATAAAAATATAAATGTGAGAAGAAAATATTACATAACATCGTGGATCTTGCTTAGCTTTCAATAACTTGGACACGTTAAAAATTAATGTAACCATAATCTCTCCGATGGTCTTGTAGGGTTACCTAATAGGCTGCTTGCAAATCAGTTACTTGAGCTATAGCTGCTGAAGTATCCCTTCAAACTAAGGTTTTCCATGTAGTAGAAACAACTGGGGCAGAAGTAAATGAAAATAATAAAAATCTACTTCATCAAATTTATAATATAATTTTGAATCAGATAGTATCAAATACAATAAATTTTTAGGCCACTTTTTTTTTTTAATTTGCTGTAGGGCATGTATTTAGGCCACTTTTTGTTTTTAATTTGCTGTAGGGCATGTGCAGAGACAAGGAAAGAAAGAGAGGGAAAATGAAAAATCACCCCCTAGGGGGCTGGCCACACCACAATCCCTTCTCCTCCATTTTCCTCTCGGGATTTTGAGTACGCACGCACACACACCTGGCATGTTTTACAAGGTTCAAATTTTGAATCTCACAGTCGGCCATGTGGAATCCAGCTGCTTTAACCACCACACCACTGGGTGTCCTTAGAGCATGTTTTAAATTATGGGGTTGTAAATTCCAGATTGATTGTAGAATTTACTAATATCAAAACACCAGAAAAGAAGGTTGAATTCAGAATTAAACAGAAATTCTTCGCTCTTTATCTACTGCTTGTTTTAGCACATAGTGTCAGCTTCATAAATCTCAAACTGCATATGACAAAGGTGAGGGACACTAACTCCCAACCATACAATCAATACATTTTAAAATCAGTAACTATCAAATAACATCTCACTAAAATTACTGCTTTTGACAAAAACTGAGGGTTATTTTTATTTATATTTGGCAAGAATTGATATTAATCTTTTATAAAGTACTTATTATGCTTTAAATTATTTCCCATTTGTAAATATAATAACAGAAAAAACTTAGGGAATTTTTTTTTTCATAATCCTCATTTCAAAGCTCCTCATTGTCTACAAAGTCCATTTCAGCTTTAACATCATGCTAGATGCTTCCATTACAGGATTGTGATGGTTTTTGAAATGCATTTATAGCTCACTGAACTGTATTATCTACACTATACAAGACTTAGCAAATATTTAAATTATTGAAATAAAGTACAAGGTGTTTCGTTTTTGTTCATGGTGCTTTCAGGCAGACATCAGGGTTTTCTCTTCTCCCTAAAAAAAATAAATCAAGAAAAGATAAACTTACAAACTGAGAATTACTGGTTAACTCTAATTTATAATCATAAAATTTCCAACCACATAAAATTCACAATGACATACCTTAAGCAACTATTATTTAAAACTGAGTTATAAAGAATGGAATACTGAGCAGAAAGGAATAATGTCTCAGTTTGTAAATTAGGGATCTATTTACATTTCTATTATAAAGGTTAAGTATTCATTAATTTACGTCACCACTGAGTCTAATTGTATGTTTATGCCTGAGCCTGTCAAAAAAAAATATATAACAACTCATTTTCTTTTGTCATAAATATTTATTATTTCAATCAAGGCATATCTTCTTACTGCAAACAAATGATTAACCCCTGCAACAAAGGAGTAAACAGTCATGTATCAGCTGCACACATTAGCTGGTATTCAGTCTTTAGCATGATACATGGACTATAATAAATAGCTTTGCTCAGACAATTGTGCCAGCAGGATAATGCCGTTTACTCATTTAATTTCCTCTGCGACACTAAAATGTCAATATTTTGGGGGGTGGGCAGGTAGAGGGCATGTGCATTCACCAGACAGAGTGAGAAAGCACTCCCTAGGAGGGATGACAATGCCACCGTCTTTTCTCTCCATTCTCCTCTCGAGATTTTGAGCATGCATGCACAAGTGCCCAGCGTGTTTTTCAAGCCATTGAGTCCAAGACTCAAAATGCACAGTCAGCCATGTGGTATTCCAGATGCTTTAACTACTATGCCACCCAGTTAGCCCTAAAATTTCATTAATTTAAGCACCGCCGATTCAGGAATTAAAATCACATGGGCCAGGCTAATTTTAGCTTTTATATCCCTGAAGGAAAAAAAAATAGTTTACTAAACAAAGTTGAAGGACAGCCAAGGTTTTCTCTGAATTATCTCATCTTTCAAATTATTTGTGCCTGAATGAAGTGAAATGGTAGGAATGTATTTACAAAAGGCCTGGGAAGAACAAAACAGGACAAAGGGTTAAAATGTTATGAGCTCATAAATTACTTTTTATTTTATGTTTTCTTATTTGTATTCAATCATTATACATCTGTATAGCACACAATATGGTTTTTCAAAGTATGCATGTGGTATGTGACAAACAAATCAAGGATATGTCATATTCATCATTTCCTTTTTATAAAAGAATTATTTAATTTTATTTATTATCTTTTTTTAAAGTTTGCTATAGGGCATGCATACTTACCAGAGAGAGACAGAGACAGAGAGAGAGAAGGAAAGTGAGAAAGTAAGCCACCAGGTCCAGAATTCGAACCACAATAGGCTATGTGGGAGTCTAGCACCTTAACTAGCACACCACCTGCTGTCTCCTATATATATCATTTTGAAGAGAGAATTTTACATTCTTGTGTCTGTTACATGTCAAAAATTTTTTAACTTTTTGCAGTTTTATTAGAAGTTTATAGTGTAGAACATTTACATTATAGCGTATAAATAGTCACCTCTCACTTCTTTTGCTGGCCACACATATTTTCTCATTGCATTTTTCATATAAAACTTGTAGTTGGTTACATGATTATGAATAAGTTGACTCAGCATTGAGCTTCCAAATCCTGTCAAAAATGAACAGTAAAACCTTACCTGTGGTACCTTGTAGGCTTCTAGCTGAGGTCTTCTCAACTGGATACTGCAGAGGTATTACAATGCCTTGATCTGGCTTCTGAAATGCTGAAATGAGATTTTTTATTTTCCGGAAAAATCTTTTATGTACCCCAGGTGCTGTCTGGAAAACAAAAGGCCAAGCAAATTATTTACCTATCTCATAATGATTAAAACACACACGCACGAAGTGCAGAGGATGCTTAGATAGGTAACATTTGGGTAACTTGTTCAAATATTTGAAAACATAAGGAAGATGGAAAAACAACATTCCAGAAGAGCTTACTTTGGTTGGCTGAATTTCCCTGCAAGAGGAGCTAATGAGCTGTCATTTCAGTTCTCCCAAGGGTGGTATTAGTTTGTACAAGCTCTTGCTCATCGCCCTGCCCTTCCTGCCTACTACCCATCATACATTCTGAACCTCTAAGGGTATACAGGCCATTACCCACAATGAATTCACCAGCAGAGGGATTGCAGTTAAATACAGAAAAAACACACATCCTACAGGTCATTAATAAAAAGCCTGAGGAACAACAGCAACAGAAAATACGACCACCACCCACCCTCCCTGTCATCATTTCACAATGTAAGATGCTACACAGGAAATTAAAAATGGGTTCTTACGATGCACACGATTCATGGCTAGTTAGTCCTCATACTCTTTCACCTCACAATATGTCCTGCTTCATCCTTCATGTTATTTTTTTTTTCTCCTTGGGAAACTTCTCTATCCTCCCCCAAATTGCTCCCTCCGACAGCACTTCACTGTGACAAGTTTCCTCTATGACATGAAAATGAAAGACTATATAAGGTCATCTTTATTTATTTATTTGTTTTTAAAGATACCATTATTTTCAGGTGATTATTAAAATGTACTTCTTCCCTGACATCAGCTCTCTTGCAAAAAAAAAAAAAAAAGAAAAAGAAAAAGAAAAAAAAAACAAAACCACTGTCTGAAATCAACAACAATTTCCTGCAAGAGCTTATGAGCCAAGCTTTAGGCATCAGCTCAAAACTGTCATTTTACATGAAATAAAATAGTATTGCTATGAGCAATTGAACAATGACTAGGTTTTTTTGGAAAGTTTTTTTTTTTCAGCTATTCCATCTGGAAGATTTTTGAGGTGAGAGCTGTTTGTTTTTTAGCATTTAATGAGAAAATATAAAAGCTGGCATGCAGACTTCTGTCCACTAGGCAGTATGCTAGAGATAGCTCACTGTCCCTAGTAACTCTCAGTCTTCACCTACACTGGGGTAAATTTTCATTGAAAACACTGCAAGAGTTCTTTTTAGCCCTAAATTAATGTCCACCCATGTGCTCACAGTAGATGTAGAACACTACTACCCAGCACCTGTGGTCAAAACACCTTCCCAAAACTATTAAGATCTCATTCAAAATAATAGTCATTCTTGGAGAAGTCCCAACAGTTATTTGGCTCCAAGATGGATTCCACAAATTGCAAAGGCAGGTGATAGTTATAGAATACCTCCTTAGACCTCCCTTGGAGCACTTTTTCATTTTCAAAGCACTTTCTCATCTCTTGTCCCCACTACTCTTTTGTAGACTAGCAATTCTTTGCTGATTTGGTGATTCCCATTTGAGAGATAAAAAAATGTTAATGCAAATAAATTAATCACCTTGCTCCAGGACACACAGACAACCAGAGACAGAATTTGCTCTGGACTTCAGGACCCAGTTTCTTGCCTCTCAGATTAGGACTAGGCAGAACAGATTCTAGCAAAACTAGAGTCATCAACCAGAACAGAAACTACACACACTCCCAGTGTGGAAAGATTTCAAACCACACATCTTTTTAGTTGTTCTTGTGGCTTGTAAAACCATCTGTCAACAGAAGCATTGTTTTTATGGGACTGATAAGCAGTTAACACCTGATTATTCGTGCTAACAGAGATGAATAATCACAAATTGCAGAGAAGCTATTTGAATTTGGGGTGCAATGTTTCCTTGGCAAGTGACTAACTTAATCTATAGTTCTGTGCTTAGATTAATAAGTAAAGTTACTTAACACCTACTGGGTCTCCTGACGATCAAATACCCTGAAAAGTCCAAAGGCACTGAAGTCAACAGGAGGAGGTACAACAATGAACATATCAATAAATTATACTTGACCACATGTAGAATTCTCTAAATTAACAATTTAACAAACTTTTAGCCTGAGTCACATGAGAATGAGGTAAGATATTAGGCAATGATATAACCTAAAAGTCTATCTAAAACTGGAAATAAATATGGTATTTGTCTTTCATAATTCAGGAGATCTGGAGTTCGATTTCATTCCACTCTTCAAAACAAATCTCAGACATACCTAGATTTAGTAGCACAATCTTTGCACAGAGAACAGAGTGCTTCTGCCATGATTTTTCCTGCCACATGGCAAACTGAAACATTGATCCAAAAAGCAGTCTAAATATCTATCATTTACCCAATTTCAAAAATACATTTGCCGTAAGAATTGTACCACTGACAACTACCATCCTGTCGCTGAACTCAGCTATTGTTCAAATTTGCACATTCCTTGTACTATCACCTCTTAGCTATCCATGGAAACATGTTTAGAATCACAGCTGGTCTACAATATGCTCTAGAGAAATTTTTTTTCCAGTCAGTTGGTATGATCTCGGAGAATACGCACTCGTCCAATATTCACCTTAGCAAAACATAACTAAGAAGGCAAATTGAGAAGACAGAAAAAAATGCAATATGCCTTTCAAAAATTAAAAATTTTTGAACTGTTTCCTATTTAGGGATAATCCATGCCAATCTTCTGCTCTCTTGGTGCAGATAATTACAATATTATTCTATAAATGAGGTCAGATGAGACAACAGACCAAGGGGGCATTTATGTTCAATAAGCCCTCTCCTCCTTAACATGATCACAAGCATGTCACAATCTGCATATGATGTTATACTTGAAATGGGGGGAAGTAATTTTTAAAAGAAGCCTGTTAAACCTGGGAATTTACAAGATATATATTTATTTAATTT